TGATCTATTTCCTCATTTGCATCAGTGTCCATGAAGGGAAGGAAATCTAGGTTACTCTAGGACTAAATGTCTCAGGGGGGTAGCCATGTTAGTCTGTAACTAAAAAAACATAAACAGTGATGGTCCTATAGCAACTTAGGGTATTTCGAAAGTGAAAGTGTGTGCTGGGACACAGGTCGAACCAAACCCCTAAAAATGAGGAGTAACGTTAGTTCACTTTAGAAACAGCTTTTGATCAGAGTAATGTGCTGGCAAGATCATGCTAATGAAGTGCAGAATATTTAAATCCCCGCTTCATTGACTATTTCGAATGCCTACATTTGCATCCCTAGTTCGAACAAGGGTGCAAGTGTAGACATACCCTTAGGCTATGTCTAGACTGCAAGCCTCTTTCGAAAGAGAGCGTCTAGACTGCACGCGGAATTTCGAAAAAGCAAGCCGCTTTTTCGAAAGAAAGCACCCAGTGAGTCTGGATGCTCTCTTTCTAAAAAGCCTGTTTGCTTTCAAGAACGCCTTCTTTCGAAAGAGCACTTTCGAAAGAAGGCGTTCTTCCTCGTGGAATTAGGTTTACCACCGTCGAAAGAAAAGCCGCATTCTTTCGATTTAATTTAGAAAGAACGCGGCTGCAGTATAGACGCAGGTGAAGTTTTTTCGAAAAAAGGCTACTTTTTTCGAAAAAACCCCTGAGTCTGGACACAGCCTTTGAGACTAACCAAAAATATTTTTCATGTGAAGAATTGGGTTGGGCCCACGAAAGCTCATGATACTATCTATATATATTTTTGGTTATTCTCTAAGGTGCTATAGGACTGTTGTTGTTGTTTTTGTTTTTGTTTTTGTAAGGACTAAATGGTTGAGCTAGGACTAAGGGATACCTACATAGTCTCTCTGTGCCTTTGTTCCTCAGCTATAAAATAGGGATAATAGCACTTCCCTACTCACAGGGATGTCGTGAGGTTAAATACGTTAAAGATGTTGAGGAGCTCAGGCACTGTGGTAGTGGGGGCCACATCTGAATCTGAGATAGAAGTCAGATTAGTTCTGAGCTGGATATAAGTGCTCTTCATGGAAGCTGGTGTGAACAGATGTCGTGCTGTTAAAGGAGACAATCTTTTGATGGCAACCAAAATTATTTTGGGGATAGAACCAAAAGGGGTATATCTTTGATACAACATACTTTTGGGTGAAGATACTTCTTAAGTAGCCAAGGTTTTTTAAAAAATGAAGGAATCCTAACAAAAGGATTCCACTGCTATTAGGAGAGTGGGGGAAGGAAGGGCAATGAGAAATTAATTGGGATTGTATGTTTGTTTCCACATACTCTTCATTCTGCCTTGAAAATTCTTGCAGTGGAAATGCAAAGATCTCTAGTTAAAAGCTTCAGTTTCTTTCTTAGCTATGTTGTCTGTCTGCATGTGTCTCTGCCAAATAAAACATGTCAAGATTAATAGTTGCTAATTCTCATGGATGTGAATATACACTACACTAGACAAGGCTGGCCTTATATACAAACAAATTTCTTCTGGGAACCTGACATATAACAATATCTCTGTAAATTGTTCCATATCATAGCTTTCGCACTGGAATTCGGGTGATAAATTAAACTCAAAAATAATATTAAGCAGTATCATATTTGCTGCCAGCTTTTATAGAAAATCACAGCCCTGAAGCGGTGGAAGTCACTGGCTAAGCACCTGGAATCAGAATTTGAAGTGTTAAGTCAGCTTCAGACATCAGGAGCCTCTTGAAGAGAGAATAATTTCTTCATTTCAGTATATTCAGCTAATTCAGATCAGTGACTAATTAGTTTAAAGTTAAAAAACCAGTTGGATATTGAAAAGCAGATAAGCTTGTTTTCCTCTTCCAATCTATGAATATGAACTAGAAGTGAGAGGATGAGGTCTCGTAATTTGGTAACCAGAAATAATTAGTTGACTTGTAGCTAAATTACAGATAGTACGCTTTTGTAAACTTTCTGACAAATATTTTTTGAATGATTCTGCCACTTTTAAGGTAATTTCATTGAACTAATAAAAAATTGAAATACCGTTTTTCTGCAGTTTAATTTAATTTAAATTTCTAGCCAAAGATAATTTGTGACAAATCAGAATAAAAAAAATCATCTAGTCACTTAAGAAATGTATCAGTCATCATTTTCATATGATACAATTGTAAAAATTAAGAATTGGAATAAATGTATGTTACGCTTTGTAATTTCTTAAGTAAATTCATATGGCTAAAGTGTATCATCCTGTTTAGCAAAAAGTAGCACCACATGTCATGTAAAAGCTACATTTATTTGCAAATCACCCTGTTTTAATGGTTCCTAACTAATGAGCAGTAACATCTGGGAAAATAAGTAAAAGTACTAGTGCAAAGTATGCTTAAAATTAATTATTTAATTAAGGGTTTCTTGCTTGGTGATATTTTTAAATATTAAAGTTGGTGTAAAGCACTTTGGTTTAAATCAAACTACCTTGACTTCATCAGTCCCATTTATGCTCCTGGCCATGGGATTTGAGGACCTGACAAATTACTGCCTGATTGTATGCAAACACAGAGGCTTTCAATGCAAATACAGATCTGCTCTAAATCCCTAATGCCTTGTCTACACTAAAAGGAAGATCGCCACTCCTGCGATCAATCTTCTGGAGTTCGATTTTAGTGAGTCTAGTTAAGATTTGCTAAATCAAACTCAGAGGGCACCCCCACTGGCAACAAGTATTCCTCCTTGTGAGGTGTAAGAGAAGCCCTGCTATGGGGACACCGCCAAGTTCGGCTTATATATTCTATGTAGTTGGAGTTGCGTACCTTAAGCTGAGCTACTGGATTTAGTACAGACCTGGCCTAAAACCTCTTAATGAGATGCTCAGACAGTGATCCATATAATACAGTGTCCTGTTGCTGCTGCAGGGGAGGGTACAGGAAACTGTGTTATAGTCAGATACGTGATTACAGTCAGATTACATGATAGTCAGTAAAACCTTTAGTTGTCTCCTAACCCTTGGTAGTTAGAGGTTGGCTTCTTAAGCCCTTAACCTTGAGGGGTTATAGCCCTTCCATAACTCTAGTTTGTTTTTATACTGAGCATTATTGTTAGTCACATACAAGTCTACATATTGTTTCTGAATGCTACTGAACTCTTGGCCTCACCAGCATTTTGTGGCAATGAATTCCACAGCCTCATAGTATATATATGTTCTGTATTTTTTATTTTCTCAATTTTGAATTTGCCATCTTTCAGTGTCCTGTTGCTCTTGTGTTACGAACTCAGTAAATGGAAGTTTCCAATCTCCCTTCACCATGTGATTTATAAAATGCTTTGGAACATTTGCAATCATGGAGAGCAGACTATATCTGGTGGTTAAATTTCATACCCTGTTGTGAATAACAGAGAGGACAGCTATGTTCTCCTTGGCTTATCAGTGTTTGGAATGCAGAATCTCTAGCCTGGTTAATACACTAGAGCAGGGATGGTCAGCCATGAATAGTGGGTGGGTAGCATAAGTGGCCCTCCTTCACCTCAGAGGGCCACATCAGCCTGCAGCCTGCTGGGGTTCCACCTGCAGCCCTCCTGTCTTCCCTCCTCTGCCAAGCACCTCTCACCCCTGGGGCACCGGAGTCCTGCACTTACCTGCCCCTCACTCTTCCAGCATTTTCAGAGTGCATGAATCACCTGATTTGCTCCCCATCCTCACTCCTCCCTTTTCCTCCCAGAGCTGGATCACAGTGAATCAGCTGGTCGCAGGAGGGGGAGGAGTGGGGTTGGAGTGCGAATTAGGTGATGTGCACACTTCAGAAGTGCTGGATAGAGAGTGAGGGGCAGGTAAGTGCAGGGCTTTGTACCCCAGTACACAAGAGATGTATGTGAGAGGGGAGCAGCCTGAGGGTCTGTGGGCTGCAGGTGGAGTCCCAGTAGGCTGCCTGCAGGCTGCAGATTGCCCACCCCTGCACTATAGGTTGAGCCATTCTAGAATTAGCCATTTTGTCTTATAGAATATGTATATAACTAATCACTTGTGCACTGTTTCAGCCATTGATAAAATCCTTATTAGATTGGGGGACCCCCTCTGTTATACTTCCTTAGGTGCATATTTATTCACTCTCTAGGGATGTTAAATATCAGTTCATTGAATAGTCAGTTAACCTCATGAAGGTTACTCGACTGTTCTGTAGTCCCCGGGGGTGAGGCCGACAGATATCACACTCTGGTCTCACTCCCGAGGAACACCCTGCCACTCCACATTGCTGCCCCGTTATCAGAGGCAGCAGCGTGGGGTGCCAGGTGGGAGCTGGTCCATGAGGGGAGACCAGCTCCCCTCGCAAACCAGCTGCCTGTCGCCCTGTGCTGCTGCTTCTGATAAAGAGGCAGCAGCACAGGGTGACAGCAGCCCGTCTGGGGAGGTGAGTTTGAGCTCCTGGACCCGGTGCAAGCCAGAACTGAGCCGGGCTGCCTACCCACCTGGCTCCGAATACACTTTAAATGCAGAGACACAGTGGGAGTAGGTCCTGGACCTGGACCTGGTGAAAGCCAGAACTGAGTTAGACTGCTGGCCAGCCTGCTAAAAAAAATTACTGGTTAGGGGGAGGGAGGAATGCGTGTAGTCTGTAGCATTAACCGATATGCTTTTGCTTATCAGTTAATCTACTACACTGTTACATCCCTAATTTACTCTACCCTGCTAAGATTGAACAAATCACCATACAACACACATTCCATAGAGATGCTAATGCAGTGAATATTTTAGTAGCTCATACCTATTTACTGTAGTCACCACTGAACCTGGAAGATTAAGACATACATTAGAAATACATTTGGTAAATTGCAGCTCAGTTTGTAGGCCCACAGACAGTAGAACCTTATGATAGTATGGCAGCTGACAGCTTTGTCTTGGTGTTCTTGATTTGCTTGCTGCTACTTGTATAGAAGGTTTCGGAGGTAGTGCTTAGCTAAACTTGTTTCTGATTTTAGGTCTAAAGGCCTTTGTTGATTTTTGCAGGACTTCTTTGAAAGTTACATTTCCATTGCCTCGACTGTGCCTTCAGTGCTCTGCCTGATTGGAAACTTTGTGCTAGTCAACAGGTAAGTGCAGTTACGTCTCCAATCCAGGATGCATTAAGCACCACTATTTCCAGACTTGCTTGCTGCCTATGCAGTCCAACCATTCCACCATTTTCTTTAGTCTTTTTAGTGTTAGCACAGCAGTGGGCTTGAAGTCAAGCTGAAACATCTAATGGGGAACTACATTTAACCAGAAAAAAATGTTAGCTAAATTGCTTAAGAAAGAGACGCACTCTGTCTTGTCTCCACTGTAAAGCCTACTTGACACTTCTTAGAGATTAGACCAGGCACAAATATATTTCTGTGCTCAAACTCATGTATCTGTTCCCTGTTGTGATGGTAATAGTTCAGTGAAATAATAGCCTATTGTAGAAAAAGTTCAAATAGAGTATTAAATTCCGTGTTACATTTCCCTGTGAAATCTGTGTTCTGAATGCTACTGCAGTTTATAACGCAATACAGGTTCCTGGAATCCATGATGCTTGTTCGAGTGATGGTCTCTATATGTATTCCAAATGTGGGGTGTGCCTGTGCACCATGTACTAGAGCCAGAAGATTTTCCTACCAGTGTCCATTGACCCACATGTGCGTCGCAAATTCCCTGTGCTTGCAGTCGATAGTATAAGAGGCTGTGTGAGTCGATGCATCTCCATTTCCTCTTACCGCCATGTGGCCTGAGTCGAAACCCTTGTTTGTTCATGCTCTTAGTTTTAACTAAATCTGTATTCTGAATACTACTATAGCTTATAACTAGAGCCCTACAAAATTCCCAGTCCATTCTGGTCAATTTCATGACCGTAGGATTTGAAAATGAGTTAGTTTCACATTTTCAGATGATTACAGCTGAAATTTCAGTGTTGAAATCATGGGTCCTGACCAAAAAGAAGTTTTAGGGCAGGGATGGGAACCTTTTTTTGGGTCTGGGGCCATTGACCCTCAGAAATATCAGTTGGGGACCGCACACAAATGAGGAAAAAAAAGTCACTGATTTTGCTGCCCACTGAGAAAGAGAAAGACACTCCCCACATTTCCCTCACGCCTGAGGTTCCCCACCCTTGTTATAGGGGGGTTGCAAAGTTTTTTGGGGGGTTGTCATTCTCCCTTCTGTGCTGCATTCAGACCCACCTTTGATTACCATCTCCTGCTGTAGGAATCTCCATGGCTGAGCAGCAGGAGCTTCCTCGAGATGGTTCTGATCTCTCCCCAAGAGCAGCTGTGCAGAAGATAAGCAAATCCCATCCCCCTCAGCCTGGGGTATAGCCCCAGCTCTGTGTCTCCCCATTCCCTTCAATAGCTATATTTCATAGGAGAGGGCTTATTTCATGGTTTGTAACGTGTTTTTCCTGTCTGTGAATTTGGTAGATCCTCACTTAGAAGTCCCAGAAATCAGTGATTTTTAGATACCTAATACATTCATATTATGCTTACCATGTATAAATTGTCTGTCTTTGAGCTTAGAAACTACCCATCATAGTAGTAATGAAAGGCCAAACATACAAAACATTATATAGGGGATGCTACATAAATTGGCATATATGCAAACTAAATTGAGTCAAAGGTTTTTGCTCCTCTAGGCAGATCTGAAAACGACCTACCCTCACAGCCTGGAGCTAGCTGAACTAACAGTCACTAAAGTTGTGATCCCTTTAGCATCTGCTTACATAGTAAACTGGCCCTGTACATGGACATTTTTTTTTCTGTCCAGTAAACTGAGATCAGAATTTGAGGGAAGAGAGTCAGGAGGAATACTCCTCTTGTACCCATTGTCCAGTTTACCCCCTGCCAGGAAAATCTGAAACACATTGAAAAGGTTTCCCCATCCACTAAGATAAAATCTTTTAGAGAGAATTATAGTACTGCACTTGTCTTGACTCCCTGCTGACTGGCAACTACAGTTCTGTTTTCTGTACCTGTGGATTTTGTCAGTGTGCCAATCCCTTTTATCTGCCTTATTCTGCAAGTTCTAATCATTGAAGTAAGAATAGAAATTAATTTGAAGGTTAGCTTATGTATGAACAGTTTATACTTCATATTGAGTAGGTATTTAATGTTCACCATAGAAATTATTAGCCAAGTGATAAATTCTTAAAATAGGTGCTCAGTTGTTACCAATCTTTGCACGTTGTATGCAAACGGGAAAGAAAGCAAAGGAGAACTTCAGAAAATAGATCTTATTTTGCGTGCATATTCTCCGGACTGCTAATGTATCCATTTCACTAAACTATTTTGTATTTAATGAATTACATTTAAATGTAGCATCTATCTCCTGCATATCACTGATTTTTCTGACTGGCACATCTATAATCAATAAGTGTTTTATTATGTTAAATTTTCAACATCATAAATACTCATGAGGCAGATTAACATTATGAAGAATTCTGAGCAAATCGGTTCCCTGTGGTTCAAATATTATGCAGCATATTTGGCTAGCATATGCTCCACCCTCAGAATACAGCATGTTGGAAAGCTTACCATTATGGCTGTTTTAAAGTAGTGGCACTGTCTGCGGATATAGCAACACATATGAAATCATGACTATTTTTTTGTACATTGTTTGGGAGAGAATAACAAAACTAGGTAGTGCCAGCCTTTTGAGAGGACTCGTGAGTATGCTTGCTTTCGTATTGATGCTCTTATTTGACTAGAGATCATTTTTGTGGTTTAATTGGTGTTCCATGCACATAAGGCATATTTCTCAAGAGTCCTTCCTCCTCCTAGAAATGGGCTAGTCAGACTACAGTATTTTTAGTTTAGCTAACTATGTAGCATGGTGCACCATATTGTGGCTCCTTGGAGACCTCCCTAGGGGAACAAGGTTTAGTACAAGAGACCTTGTATCTGAGGATGGAGGGAATATATTTCAGCACTTCATCTTTAGATCTTTGTTGCTAGTTTAGCTTTTCTTTTTCTTCCTTTCCCCTTCATTCCTTCTCTGCCTGGAAGGTGAGCTGATAAAGTCTTATGCATCTATAAATAATTTTCCTGTTCAGTCATAAATTTGATATGAGAACTCTTTAAATAATTACTTTTTATTTCCCTTCTTTTTCTTGGTCTTTCCTGCCCCACAGGAATTAGTTCATTGTAGCTTCTTCATTGGCTCCATTTCTCTAGCCATTTGGCTTCCTTAATGCTCTTGTATTATCTCCCAGTTGGCTGGTACATCAACAGCCTGCCTTAGCCAGAGTATGCATTTCTAGGCTGTCACTTGTACTTCCAAAGCAACTCCATTGTCAGTCCCCAAGTTCCTGTGTATGGTGTGGATTCTTGAGTCTGTGTTCTAAAAAGTGAGACAGCGTGGCAGCTACCCACTTGCACACTACATTTTATCAGCAGTCAGTACTGCAAATGGCATTTCTTGGCCACCTTAAAGCAAAGGTCCTTAGTTCAAATGGTGAAAATTAGTTTGTAAAGTACAAGGAAACTCTTGAAAGCAAAAGGGTATAGATATGCAAAGTTACAAAATGATAGCCATTCTTGCATTTGTCTGGAAACTTTTTGATGACTATAGGGTTGTAAAAATGAAATATGTAGAATAGGGTAGATCATTGCCAGCTTACAGGCATTTGAAGATGAATCACATGTAAGGAGAGGCACTATGACCTAATACATTTGGAACTATACTGGGAGTCAGGAATCCTGAGTTCTTCTGCCAGTTCTCCAACTTCACCCTCACTTTGCTCTGTTTCCCCTGGACCATTGTCTGATAAGATTGTGAGCGCCTCAAGGACTGTATTTTACCATATGTGTATACCAATATATACTAGGATGGAGACTGGGTACAGAAGGGACTGGGGTGCAGGAGACGGTGTGAGGTCTGAGAGGGAGTTTGAGTGAAGGAGAGGATTGTGACCTGGGTAAGGAGATTAGGGCGCAGGGTTTGGGAGGGTGTTTGGGTGCAGGAGAGGAAGCTAGCCTGGGGAAGAGGTGTATGAGGGGGGTATAGGGTCTGGAAGGGATTTGTGACTTGGGGCAGGAGGTGAAAAGGGTTTGGATGGTGACCTGAGGGTGGGAGTTGGGGTGTGGGAGACAGGCTCTGCCTGGGAGGCGCTTACCTAAGTGCCTCCTGGTCAGCACTCCCAAAGCAAGCCGGGCTCACTTCAAACTGCAGGCTATTCCCTCCATGTAGCTCTCAGCTCCAGGAGGGGGCAAGGCTTGCGCTGCGCTCCCATCCCCCAGGCCAATCTCTCAGATCCTATTGGCTGGTTGTTTCCAGCTAATAGGAGCTGAGAGATTGGCTGGGGTCAATTCCTATTGGCTGGTTCTTTCTGGCCAATAGGAGCTGTGGATTGGGCTGGGGAGATCACATGAAGCCTTCCCCTCCCTCCAGAGCAGAGAGCTGCCGGACTGCGCTTTAAACCTGTGGCAGCTGTGTGCCTGAGGGTCCCAGCAGGGTGGTCGGTAGACCAGATCCATCTGGGGGCTTCATGGGCTGGATCCAGCCCCCAGGCCATATTTTGCCCAGCCCTGGTGTATAGTGCTTAGCTCAATGGGAACTGTATCTCAGCTGGAGCATCAAGGTATTACTGTCATAGAAATAATGAATAATAATGCCTTTTTGATTAAAGTAGATAATGGTGGGATCTCAAACTGTTGCATTTCTTCTTTAGAGTATCTGCCAGCATCCGCATTCTGTCCTCCTTGGCTGTCATGCTGGCTGTCTTCGTGGTGATCACTTTGCTGGTGAAAATGGACACCTCCACATGGACACAACATTTTTTTGTCATAACCATATTTTGTGTGGTTATAGTCAGTAGCGCCTCGACCATCTTCTCCAGCAGCATCTTTGGCCTCTCAGGCTGTTTCCCCATGAAGAATTCGCAGGCATTGATTTCAGGTTAATCTCCCTCTGATATTTCAAAATGGAATTGGTGGTAGTAAGTAAATGATTAGCTTTGGCAATGGAAGGCTATCCACATGCAGAGAATCAGAATGACGAGATCTGAGAAACTGCTTAGGTTCATGGATTTTAGTTTTGTAACATATGCTGTGGGTTCTGCAGCACTTGCTCCATCTTGGTGGAGGTTTGCTGTATGCATTTCAGGCATGTGATAATGAGTTCTGCATGTTAACTGAAGTAACGTGTTTCCTTTATTTAAAAAAAAACAACCCTGTAGACTGAGATAAAGGGAAGTTGCCAAGGAAGAAACACAGCCAGTCATGTGAGCTGACTCTAGTTTCTGTAAACATTTTGTAGACTGCCATATTACACTGTATACAACAGCATTTGATCTCTCAAAAGACACAAAGAAATTCCCAGATCTTTCACATCGATATCTTATGCCTGATTTCCCCCTAAAGCAATCTGAGTCAAAGGACCACAGAGTTGACTTTTCTATAGGGAGAACGACCCCTAGTTCCACATCTGTTTATATCTCAAGAAATATTAAACTTCGCATTGTCTCTCTTTTATATTCCACATTTACACTCATTTCCATAATTGATGAGGGACATGCTGAGAGTTATAAGTGATGAGGTCCCTGAAGGTTTGGATGTGGTTGATAACATTTTAAATGCACTGCAGGGTAGGTGTGAGAGAGAGGTGAGGGGAAGAAATCAAGACAGAAATATTTCTTTGGGCCAAGGCTGGAATGTTTTAATTTTTTTTTCTTGGCGAGGGAATTAAGCTTGTCTCAGAGGTTCCTGTTGTAAAAAAGATGCATGTTGTATTGGCAAATTGATTTGCATTTTGGGAGATAAAAAAGAGAGACTCTCAAACTTCCAATTTTAGAAAACCAAGCTTATGTTTCTGATCTGGTAACTGATATTCTTCTCGTTGAAACTAGACATAGAAAATCCACATTAAAGCCCATCACACAAGATCTACCTGGCCCAAGTAGTGTAATGGAGTTGAGTATCCTTACTGGAGTGGGGAGACGGATGGATGGAAAGCAAGGCTCCCATTTCACTACAACAACTATTACACCTCAGGAGTTGTGAGCCAATAATTAACTGATTTGTAGTACAACACAGAAAAAGAGACAATACCAAATACAGGCAGACCCCGGGTTACGTCAATCCGACTTGAGTTGGACCCCTAGTTACAAACGGGGGGGAAGGGCGCAGCTAGTGCAGGGTGCCTCCCCCACTGTCGCCGCCTCTGGCGGCGTGGGGGACACTTCCCCCCAGCAGACCAGGGAGACGCGGAGCGGCTTTTCTCACCGCGAAGGACTCGGGCGGCGGGACTGCGGCGCATCTCGGCGGTCCCGCCC